CATCACATGTGGTACATGTGGTGGAACAAAATTATGTACACAGGGTCCCAGTTACATCCAACAATAAGAAAAAAAAGAAAAACAGTAATAAGATCCAATACAAAAACTAAGACTATGAACTAAGAACAACAGCTAAAAATACGCCAAGCACCAATAGCATAAAAACAATAAACACAAAACACTGAACAGCAGCACAATTACGAGTCTGCGCGAGCAGATGAGCATGAATGAACACAGCAACATGAAACAGATCAGCAGCAACATGAAACAGATCAGCAGCAACATGATGTGATTTTTCACAGTGATTATTCTGGTTAGAGATTCATGAGTCTAACAGCCTCAGGGTAGAAGCTGCTCCTCAGTCTAGTGGTTCTACACTTGATGCTCCTTAACCTCCTTCCTGAGGGGAGTGGGGCAAAAAGTGTGTGTGCTGGGTGAGTGGGGTCATCCTTGATGCAGGTGGCCATCCTCCTACTCCTGGAGGCACAGATGTCTGCGACGGCGGGGAGGCCAACTCCAACAGACCCCCGTGCAGCCTTCAGCACTCTCTACAAAGCTTTTCTTTCTGCAGCTGTGCAGCCTCCATGCCACAAGTTGATGCTGGAGCACAGGATGCTCTCCACTGCACACCTGTAGAAGAAGGTGAGGACTGAGCTTCCCAGACCAGCTCACCTCAACAAACTGTTGACCAGAAGAACAGAACAAAATAAATCTAACCTCTCTCTCTCAAGCGTGTTTATCTGGAAATGGCAGATACAAATTGCCCCAGTGTGCAATTTTTATTAATATTATTACTATTTTTTATTTTTGCCTTTTTTTTATCTTTCTGAAGCCCCCTGGCACCCACCCCTCCAGGACTCCCGCAGGGGGCCGTGGCCCCCACTTTGAAAAACACTAGGGGATGCTTCACAGTGGTAAAAGTGGTGTGTTGCTGCTATCAACTTCAAACTTATCTTAATTTATTTTACAGTTTCTTAATGTCAACATTTGATGTTTTTACAATGTTTCATTGTGAATAATAAGTGAGTTTATGAGATTTGAAAATCATTGCGTTCTGTTTTTATTAACATTTTACATAATGTCTAAACTTACTGGTATTTTAGAATTGTTGGAGTTATATAATTCATAAAACAAGGTAATGATCTGTCCTCCTTTTGAACTTTATTGAATATTTCCAACAGGGGGCAACCTTGTTGCACATAACTCCCCAATAACCCCCACCCCACCCCCATGCTGTATCCTTACCTCTGTTTAATACAATAGACAATTTAGGCATCTAATCCTACATAGCCTGTTCTTTTATGTTTGCAGCTCATTTTCATTTATGCTTTCTCAATCCACCAGAGCCACATGACAAAATGGGACTTCACGTTGCTAATTGTGTTAAAAGTAGCCGTGCTGCTCGATATGATTACACAGTCGGGAGTAATAAGTGGCTGTAAAAACAAGTGATGCCGCTTTTATCCTCAGCTTATTCTTCTTCATTGATCTTGACAAGTGAAGGTTTCTGAGCAGGCTTATCAGACCCTCTCAGTGTTTTGAGCCTTTAAGCCTGGCTTTTGAGTGGCAGCTACCAGGATGGCTGCCCATAGGGGACATCGGATGACGCTGGGATGGGAAACATGTACACACAGAGAAAGACGCTCACACAGTGGCAGAGGAGGCTTTAGCTCTGTTTTGACTTGTTGTGGACTCAGTTCAGGTATTAAGACCAAGCACACCTGCGGGTGCATGTATGCAACACAGACACACAGAGAGAGAGAGTGTGTGTGTGTGTGTGTGGGGGGGGGGGGGGGTGTTGACTTCACCTGGGACTCTTCTCTGTCTAAAAAGTCTCTCTGATAATGAAATTAGAGGAAACATTTCAAGGTCAACAAGATGATAAGACAGACTTCACCATTTTTAATATGTTCTCATAAAGAACTTCAGCCTAGAAGCAAACTTCTCAAAGAGACAGACTGAACACGTTTTTATCTCAGCATCTGTTTCACTCATGTACAAAAAACTGGACTATTGATCAGCTTTTAGGTATTAGCTTCTCTGAACTCAGATCTGCAGATCTGACGTGCACAGAGTTAGAGTCAGTGCATGGATCTAGTGTAATCTTATTTAACCTGGATAGTTTGGATTTCAACTTGACATTCACATGCTGAAAAACTGAAAAGGTTGAACAGTTTGCCTGCCTTGAAGTTGGTTCATTCCATTTTATTCAACAAGTGTAAAAAAAAAAACTACTTTCTTTTTTATTTTCTGTCAACATGTTATTGTGTTTTACCAACTGATTTTATAAAGAGATACAAATTAAAAAAGTATTTTAGCTAAAGTAAAAGATTATCATTCATAGTATCATGACAAGGAGCAGTCTTCCCTGATTTGTCTGCTAAAACACGAGTCTACCTAAAAGTAATTAAGTTGAACGCAGATGATTGATTATAACTGATTTGTGACATCACTGAATGTTTTATTCTAAGTGTCTTATCAAGATTTTATTGTTTTAGTTTATAGAGGTGAAAGTAGAAAGTCTGAGTGTGGTGGTGGTGGGGGGATCACACAACTTATTTTTCAGATGTTTTAACTGCTTACTTCTACTGAGGTAGTGAGATATGTCAGTGCATTAAAAAATAAAAAGAGTGATGAATTTACGTTTTTAATTGATGAGCTCAGTTAATTAAAAAATATGATGCAATTTTACTTTTTAAAATTATGATTTTGCTACAACTTCACTGGCAACTCATCAGAAAATAGCTTCAGTATTTTAGAACCAATGGAAATCTTTATTCCCCCCCCAATTTTATTTTCAAGTGATTTTTATGAAAAATACACAATTTTAGAGAAAGGGGAGAGGTGACGCAGAGGTTAGAGAAAATGAGCCTGTGATCGAAAGGTCGCCGGTTCATTTCCCTGAACCAACTACCTCTAAAAGATGTGAGTGGGAAAGGTGAAGCACCCACAGCTGCCTCCACCTTCATTTGCCCCACTCTGAGCCCTTGAGCAAGGCCCTTAACCCCCACCATCTGCTCCCCCGGGTGACCTAGATGGCAGCTCTCTGCTCCACAGAGGGCTGTGGTAGCTCGGTGCTCTGCGGTTGCATCAGGAAGGACATCCGGCATAAAAACAAAATGCCAAGTCTTCATGTGAGTTAGTTCGCTGTGGTGAGCTCTGAGGAAGGGAGTAGCCGAAAGAAGATGAAAAAAATATTTTAGAAAGCTGTTTTTTTTCTAATCAAGCTGCAATGATGAATTTAAATCATTTTGTCAGTTGCAAATACTTTAACATACTGTACTGATGTGTTATAGTTACTACTTTTGTAATGCTGGAGGATGTTTCCTAAGGTTTTAAAATAATTAAGTATGCTAGAAAAAATAAAAATAAAAAGCAAAAGTGTGAGTAAATCTGATTTTATAAAAACTAAAACAACCCCTTCTTGGTAGAATATTTCCATTTTTTGCCAAATGGCATAATTTACTTGTAAAATTGTATATTTTGTACTTCTTGACCAGTGTTAAGAAAATAAAACTCAGTTTAGTTCTCAAACACCCAAATAATTTTGAATTTGAATAAACTTTGTGTTTCTGATTTTCATTTGGAGAATTGTAAGTTTTTTTTTTATTAACTTTATGTTTGTAAGAAATTTGACACCCCGCTGCATATTTAGAGTTTAACTGAAAAAAACAAAGCAGGACAAAAGGAGATTTGACCTTTGAACTATAGTTCTTTCATGTCTTTTGCTTCTTGTCCTTACCTCTTTCTTTCTCTCTTTCTCTTCATCCTGCTTTCTCTGTCATACCAGACAGTGTTGACTTAGTGAAGGCCTTCACAAGGTGTTTTGGAGCGTGTGTGTACATGCACCCCGGCACTGCCGTCTATGTCCGGGCATGCCATAATTAGAATGTCGTACCATTTTTTGGGTTCCCATCCCTCTTTCCCTCGCTGCTTCTCTCCCCTATTCTCAGTCTCTTGTTTCTCTCTCTCTCCATACCAGTGCTCACCTTTTTTCCTGTCCTAGCAGCACATGTGTCTGTGAGTGTGTGGTACAACATGTCCACTGATGCACACCTAGCTTGAGAAGTCTGTGGTTAGGCTATGCTCCTGCACCCTCTGTTGTGTTTGGACGTTTGACTGACTGAAGATTTGACAAATGAGATCAGGTCACTAGAGGATGTACTACGTGAAAAAGAAGGTAAAGATTTTTAATTTTGTCTGCTCATTAGGCTATGGTTAGTGTGTGTACAGTAATGCTGCGGCTTCATCAGTTTGAAACTTCAAGCAGAGTTCCTTGACTCATGAGCAACACATGAAGCAAAACTCAGGATTTGTCACGTTTTCATACATTTTACAATCAATATTGTTTTTATTTAGCGTTAAATGTTGTTGTTTGTTCTGGTGAGGCATGAACCAAATTTTGTCCTTTTGTAACGACTTTAAATAATCAAGTTGTTTTGTTGATGATCACAACAATGGTGGACAGGTGGACAAGCTAGCCCTTTGCATTTTTTGATCACATGATGCAACAGGTCACAATAGTTTTTCTTCTACTGTGGATTTCGAGCTTGGGTGCAGCTGTGCACTGGCCTAAAAGAAAGCACGGCTACTGGTGTCATGCACACCTCAATCTCTAACACATCGGAGAGTAAAAATGGGAAATGGCAGGCAATTAGTAGTACCACATATTATGTCCGTGTTTTACAACCTGCCTCAAATAGCCCCTAGCAATACAGTGGGGGATCTCACTACAACTGTCACTCATTTACATACAAAGTTTAGGTGTCGGCATGGTTGTAAGTTTTCACGTCATGCACCTTTCATGGACACCTTCCTAGAAAGTTGCAGATGCATCATCACACACCTTGTTCACACAAATCTGTTTCCATTGTAATCCGACCTTTCTTAAGCCTCCAAACCCCTGTCTCTCTGACACCTTTACCTGTGTCCTCCCTCTTGTCTTTCTGCTCCCTCCCTTTTCGCCTGTTTCATTCTCTTCCCTTCTGGTTTCTCCCCAGTCCCAGTACAACTTGCTGAGCAGCAGCATGGAGAGCCTGGGGAGCCGTGCAACGTCCGCCAGCCCCTATAGCTCCGAGAACAATTCTTCGTCCGCCGTGCCCACCCCTTCACCTTACTCCCAGCCCAACTCCACCTTTGAGGGCCTGTCTCCTGCACCAGCCATCCCCTCCAACACCGACTACCCCGGGCCACACGCCTTCCAGGTGTCCTTTCAGCAGTCCAGCACCGCCAAATCAGCCACATGGACCGTGAGTACACACACACACTTTCGTTTTGCGGCCTTGATACGTCGCTGCTCAGCCTGTGCACACATGTGCTCGCACTCTGTATATCTCGCACACTCATAAATATTCAGAGACACCCATTCTCACACACTCACTCACTCAAGTCAGCACATGTGCAGGCTTGCTGTGTGCAAGAGAAAGTAGAGTGTAGGATTCGGTGATTCATCTTGTCCACTGGACTCTTAAATCTGCGTGATGAATGCAGCACAGATTCAAAAGAAGGCCTTTTGGAAACATTTTACCCTGAGTTTGTTTGACCTTTAGACAATTTGAGTAATCAATTTAAATAAAAAGTTAACAATACTACCACTAAATGAGAACTTGTGGAATATGCATCATAGAACGCATGTTGATAAAGAACCACATTGCACATACAGATTATAATATGACACAGTCAGTTATGAAATATCAGTATAGCGATAAAGATATTGCCACCCAGACCTGGTCATGAACATTTATGTGCGAAGCATAAACAACAACCGTGTGATGGGATGGTGTTGAGAGACAGGTGAAATGGGAGCCGTGTAATTTGTCATGACCCAGTGAGAAGTCTCCTGGTGAAAAGGTGTCACCTCCGACTGTCACACAGTTGACCTCCCTGAAACAAGAGAAACGAGAGACGAGCTGCACTTCCTTCACTCTACGTGTGTGTAGGTATGTGTGTGTGACTGCAGTCCTTGGGGGCTGTGTTTGCTTGAAGTAACCATGCATGATGAGCTTCTTTACTCAGTCCTCGGTGATGTAAGAAGAGCCCCCTCTGGACATTAGAGTGGTGGTCTTTGACCTACTGCTTTTCTTTCTCTTTTTCTTTTTTCTTTTCCAGAGTCTTAGTACACACTCACGGCTGTCACCTCTGGCGCCTTCAGATTCTCTTCATCCTCTCCTAAAATATGCAGATAATCTCCTTTGTCTCCCTTAAACCTCTTAAGCCCCTTAAAAGTCTTTCTGTACAGTCACATTTTAAGCACAACACTCCAAAATCATCAAATAAGAAAAATTACTACAATTAAATTGAAATGTACTCCTCATTCAAACATTGGTCAAAAACATGCTAAAAATTTTGCTGCTTTAAATCAGCTATAGATTTCATTTAAAATTTACATTTAACGTATTTAACAGAAATTTGCAAGAGAACCAGGAAGGAAAAAAAAATCTCAAGATTCTCCTTGGCGCCTTGAAATGAACACCACACAGTTATAATTAAAGACATAAAAACAACAGCAGTACACTGTTTATATATTTTAAGAAAGGCTGATGTCACCTGTGAGGTAGTTGAGTGTGAACCATCTAATTACTTGCTCTGTTCAGAAGTAAGCATTTTTAAAATATAACTGATTTGTAGTTTAAAGCAGTGGTTCTCAAACTGGGGTCCTCAGACCCCCAGGGGTCCGCGAGTCAGTGCTTGGGAGTCCATTTTATTTTTTTTATTTTTTACAAGCATGTAGAAGTTTAACAACCTATTAAAATACACCAAAATATAGGAAATCACATCTACTTTATTAAAAATTTTCTGCGGGAGCACCACTCCGCCAGTCTGCCTGCTATTTGCGTTCCGGCATCGATCGGTTTACTAATGAAGCCCTGTTACTTGGTATAACTACTACTGTTATGATTCTGTTCAGTTTTATGTAAAAAGTTTTCTGTAATAATTTGAAGTGGCAACACATGTATGTTCATTATGAGAATAGGTAAAGTTTGAAAGTGGTTTTTAATACTGTTAATTTTCTCAAAACTGTAAATTTTGAAAGTTGAAATTAAAAATTTTGTTAATTATGTGTGTCTTGAATGAAAAAATACCCCATGTTTAAAATAATACAAATTGTATTAACACTATTAAAGAATAGGTATTAAGTATTTATGTTACACATATAGTTCCATTGCATTAATGAGACAAACTGAAGAAAATGATTTAATAAACATGAGGGTTATGATGGAGTTCCCGAAACATTCTTCCATGTATGGTGTCCCTGAACTCCAAATTTTTAAGAACTCCTAAAGTACCAATACTCTAAAATGTTTCATTTATTCAAACCAGATTTTGTTAATTCCTCTATAACCTTTAAATGATTTTTCAATCAAATTTAAAGAGTATTTGAAAATATTTACCTTGGGCTTTTTTTTTTTCTTTTACATGAAACGATTAAATATATTTTAAATCATTTGGTTCAATATAAAACATGTTTCTTTGGTTTTATTATTACCGGTACCCTGCCTGTATATCCTGCATGTTTCCTGATGTCTCTATGTGTGCAGTTTGGAAAGCGTTCCAACGTAAACAGAATAAAACAAAATGGCATTTATATATTTTTAAACTTGGAGGAACCTTCTAACAGCTCTTCAATGTTGGCTGTGTTTAGCAATTGATATATATATATATATATATATATACATAT